TTCTCATTCAGCTCTTGCACGGCCGGAAGATCACTATCCACTTGTGAATCGACATTCTCGCGGCTTTCATCATTGTCATTAACATTCTCTTCTTCCTCTTCTATAAAATCCTGGAATGAGCTTATATCATAGGTGAATCATGGTAATCATAATGCGGAAACTCTTCCGACCTCCTCAAGAACAGGATTATGCTTAGGTCGGCGTTCCCTTCTTGGCTTCGGGGATCGCAACGCAAAATCGTCATCCCATTCGTTTTCGTAAAAGCGCTTGAAAACCAAAATAGTACACGTTAGCATAAATACTCAAAGTCCAGTAATCAGCTAAAGTAAGCAAGCAAAACAATCTAAGAATGAAATATAACTTCTAGAAAGAGAGAAAAAGGGTTCACCTTTACTTCCGGATGATGATCAACGCAGATAATGGCCGTGTGATCAGAAGGACGCGTTCGAAATGAGCGTCTCAAGCTGATTCTCTTTGGTCTAAGCCTGGTTTTTATCGGCATGGAACGTCTCTGGAAAGACATGCTTTGCTAAGTATAGATTCATCTAAGAAAAAAACAAATGCAACAAATGCAGGGAAGAATTGATCAATACGTCGACGTATAGGTGCGTTATTTCGAAACCTCCTCGCCCGTCGCGACAAAATCGCACCAAAATCCGGACGAAACTAAAATGATGACTCGCGCCGGTCCACCGGATTTTGCCGCGAACGTCCATTTTGTGGGCGGATCCCCTGCGCGAGTCAACCGCGAGTGTCTGAGCTCTCATTTGAACAGTTGCTTTGCGAAACTGCGCCAAGTTTTTGTTGTCCGTTTTCGCTTTGTATGGTTTCTCCTAACTTGGTGTATATTTTGACACTCTAACGCAAATTTGCTTCACAACATATTTGTAGTTGGTGCAACACATGAAAGCGAATGATCAAATGTGGGCTACTGTAAATGAGTCATTGCTATCAGATATCCAATAGTTCAGTTCTTTTTTCACGTATCTCAATATTAGCCGGTATATCCACGGGTGAACCCTTTCAGACAATCGCAAAGAAGCTCCGGAGCAAACTGAGCTTCTAAAACTTCCGGAGCGGATGCTGCTATTGGTCCATGCGGCATGGGCCATGTGGCCTTTGCCACACGGACCAATAGCAGCGTCCGCTCTGGAATTTCTAAAAGTTCAGCAGTTTGCTCCGGAGCTTCCCTTGCAATTGTCTGAGCTGGTCGCATAGTGCTACGCCGTGCCATTTTCGGATTCTACACTTTTGAAGGTCACTTGTTTCATAGAACCGGATTTAGAAGCTGCACTTGCTTGTTGTTTCAGAAATGATTCGTGTGCAAGGCCTGTGTTCAACGTCTTTTTGTTCTTGCAATGAGTAGTTTCACATTCCAATATATCACCTCAAAATTCACTATTTTCTTTCCAAAACGTTCTTCTTGCTCATGTCAAATACCAAGTCTTGCCATGCCTCGTATCTCTAGATCAGTAGCACTACGTTGTTGACAGGTTCCACGGGCGCGGACAAATGTGCCACAAACTAGGCCTGCCTCATCCTACTATTCATCGTGGATTTGACCATGAAGTGGATGAAAGGCAGCGCAACTCTGACAATGGCTATAGTGCCCCTAGTTGCAAAGACTGGACCTAACTTACACCTGAACTAATAGCTAGCCTAAAACGCTATCATTTTTCGCGCACTGTCGCCGGCATCACTGGCGTTCATATAAGCGGTTCCTCGCACGCACAGGCTATACGCTTTGCGTCCGACCAAGGTAGTTCGCGCATAGTGAAGACAATAGACGGCAAGGATGAAAGAGCACTCGAACAGCTAGACGCCGACGGTGTCCGTAGTGACACTCTTTTTTTGCGTGGGATGAATCTACGATAGTTGTTTGGGTACGCGCAAATTTTCCCGCTCAGTGGCGGCGCAAAGTCACTATATTTACCGTCAATATACTAGCCACCAATGGCGTACCGAGGGGGGGGCGCCCCCCCCCGAGAATGGGTCGCGAAATTTTTGAAATTTACTTATATGGGTTATAAAAATGTGCAAATAACTTGTTTGTACTTGCAAATAATTAATATAATTTTTAAAATTTTTTAAAAATTCAAATTAGCCTTGTAAAAAAATTTTTTTCGGGGGCGTGGCTGACACCACCCCCCCCCACTAATTGCCTTGGTCAAGGAGGTTTCTCAGACGCCACGACCTTTCTTCTTGAGAGTTCCGGTTACAGTCACAAAAATTCTGAAGACGCACCCCTCCCCCGACAAAAAATCGTCGCGCACTCTCTGCAGAAAATCATGGGGCCAGCATTTTTATTCAGTACTGACTTTTGTACTGTTCTGCACTGCTGATTCGTTCAGTTAAAAATGTCAACAAACTCCCTATCAATACATCGCGGAATATGTACACTTGCTTTTTCGTTTCCACGGGCAGCCTGATATGGAATGTCAACAAGGGTCTTTGTTATCCCTGATCTGGATTTCAACTTGTCCAAAGGGCAGTCGGAGCTTTCATTCTGTCACGTGACCAAAATAGAGATCTACGAAATGACTGCTTCACTGTATAGCTTGACATAGAGATGGTCTTATTTCTAATGTGTCTATCATGAATTTTTCAAAGTTTTTCTTCCATCTCATAATCATGATCCAGTATATGGTTCCAAAGGCGCAAAACTGTTACTCATGCCGCGATGGTAGGACAACAGAGAAAGTCGCGAAATTACTATGTTCCGGGTGCGAACTCGCGCAGCGATTAAACTTCAGTCTTCTGCATTAGTCAACAAGAAGGTGTACAGTCGAGTAGATTTTCCGCTTAATACAGTGTGCTTGCACAGAAGATGAAATGCGGTAAAATTTGCGCGTGAACAGGTATATATATATATATATATATATTTATATATAGGGGCCTGCAGGATCGCGAGAGTCGGACGTGCGTACGGCCATTGCGCCGCGCACGTCTGATGTCACGAAGGCAGGTGCCAGACTTATCCGCTTCAGCCGGTTCGTTCGGTTCATAGGTCAAATCATTACACTGTCCAACAGAAAAGGTGGTGAACCGAATGAACGTGTTGAACAAGATAAGTCTGGCACCTACCTGAGTCGTCGGACGCGCATCTGACGTGCGCGGCGCAATGGCCGTACGCACGTCCGACTCTCGCGATCCTGCAGGCCCCTATAGCTGCGCCAGCAACGCCGGCATTGCGCGCGCAATTGGCCGGCCGCACAGTCGAGGCTGTTTCCTCAGCAAAAATTTTACCGCATTTCACCTTCTGTGCAAGTCACTATATTGAGCGGAAACTCTACTCGACTGTACGATACCTGTATTCAGCATGTCAACTCACCTCTCATATATTGAATTTCAATGTCAGGTTCTGAGTGAGTGAGTTAAAGTGGTAGAAACGCCCATCATCGCTTCTCGAGCTCGTGTAAGCAAAGCGCGCAAGCACTCAGCCTCCGGGCATAGTTCAGGCATAAACAACTGGAGTATAGACTCGGCTATACTCCAGTTGTTTATGATTCATGTTGAGCAATCTGATTAATTGTGCACTTGGAAAGTTGGAAAAAAGGCAGTCTCTCGGCAGACTTAGGAGCAGCTAGTCTTAGCAGTCTACTGAAATGGGCTGCCCATGCAAACCATGGCCCGGTTGCGAGTGCAAAATGTCACTTCTTACAGCGGACGGCGTATGCCTGCTCTCGAGCGCGATTGGCTCGTGGGTACAGTAGGTACGGTATCCCCACTCACAAGCCAGTCGCACTGTAGAGAGCAAGATACGCGGCCCGCCCAAATAGCATATTTCTGGAAAAGCTGGTTATTGATATTTTTTATAGCTGCAAGGTACAGTCTTGGACTTAGCTCGTCCAGGGAACCCATTACGATGAATGTCCCAAAGTTGTAATTCTGTCGTGCCACTGCCTTTGAGTCTCTTTCTTTACCGAAGGAATTCGTGGCAGGACACATCACTGCAGCCAATAACAGCGTCGCGACGACCGTGTCCAGCACGATTTCCGGGTGGAGGACTATATGTCGCCGAAAAGGGGCGGTTGCCGTGATCATCTGCAACAAATACGCGCCTTTGAACATACCCGGAAGTGCGTTTCTGCAACAGTATTCGGAAGTGCGTTTCTGCAAGAGTTCGCGCGGGACCCTCCCACATCCGACGAGTATAGCCCTCCAGCCACGATTTCCTGCTTAGTAAAAACCGAGGCGTATGTGTTAAAACTTCTGAGGCGATTTTCTCGCTGGGCAGCCCGCTTCAGTAAACTTTTGAGACTGCTCCCATATCTGCCAGGACACTGCTTTTGAAACTGGTTCCACTCCAGTGTCCCGTCGGTAAAGTGCTGACATAGGCCCTCGTTCGTTCGGCAGTGCGCTCAAATTGCTAGAGGCTCATCGCCTCTATGTTCGGATGTGTTGTTGATATATAATGGACGCGTGATTGTCCTTTGAGGACATGTGAATCTGTCAAATCCAGCGCTAACAATAGACATATTTTTTCGACGCACGTAAAACTGGGTCAAATTTAGCTCCTGGTCAACTGAGGGATGTATCCAAAAACCTGCGTGGGCGCACCGATCCCGTTGTTTTGGTGTAGCGAACCTTTTCAGAAAAGCCATGAAGTTTGTACTGTCGGTCGTCATCATACACTGATCTGACATCTATGGGGATGGGGGTTTACGTGGATTATGATCAAGTTAGACTGTACATCTTAGTGTTACTGCCGGATCTGTGCCAAGAGCTGCACTTGCCCATCATTTTGTCCATTGCTATCCATTTTCGTAGTCATTCTACCGAATGAACAAGAAGAGTTTTCAGCCTTTACAGTTGTCACATGTTTGCAAAATATCCCGTACTTGCGATCGACGACTCGACAATAGTTCAGTATCGAATAACAGAACGTTTTGCGTTTATTTTTTTTCCGTTGTAACGTGTTATCTCCGATACATGTAATGTCGGCGATGTTTTTGTATGCGGTTGACTCACACATTGCATCACACGAAAAATTCTTTCTAGCTTCAGCTTTCACCAATTGCGGTTATGTCGGTCAAACTGGAGAAGTGTGTTGGTTCAAAATATGCGCCAGCCGGGACAACTACTTACCGACTGGTTTCGCTGTCGGCGGAGCGAGTTGCTTTCAAGGTATGCAGTTTTGGCCTGTTTATCATGAATTCCTTTTTATTTGTGCTGGAGTGTCCTCATTGATATCTTCATGCAAACGTTAACTACTTTGTAACAGTTTGCAAAAGGTTAAAAGTAACTCTGAGGGAAGGGAGTAAACTATCGGTCTTGGCAATGATTGATTTGGTGAAATCACGGTTCCGCAAAAATTTCGACCCAGCAAGGACTCGAACCTTGAATCTTCGGTTTAGGAGACCGACGCCTTATCCATTAGGCCACAGGGCCACGTAAAGTTTGGATAAAGCACAGTGTTTGTGATTTATTGTAGGATTCCTCAATTTTGTTTCTGGTTATGAATGGCAGATTGGTAGGGCTGAAGTTCATTCGTCTGCCTGGAATATTTTTTCGAATCTAAAGACTTTTTTTTTTAAACTTTCATCGCTAAACGATGCTATCTTTGCAGCCATACATCAGATTTTGTTTTGTTGGGGGGACAAAGTGCAAATCAACTCGATCGTCGTACTTTTGAGAAAAACAACCTTTAGCTGCAAGCAAGTTAAGACTGTTTTTGGGATAATTGAGGAGGAAATCCTATTTAGTTTTCAATTTTGTTTTGGTGCTTTGTGAGCGACTACGTTATTTAGGCACGCATTCCCGAATCACACAGCTGCGAAATATACCCCTCGGAAGGATTCTTAGATAGTGGAGAGATGGTTACTTTGACTATCAGTACTTCTCAACTTCCTTCTGCTAAATTAATGGTGAAGTGGACAGAAGTTCCTGACGGTCTGGATAATGTAGACTTAGCGATGCGAAGAAGGATTGGCCGATCTGGAAACATAATTCATCCTCTGAGACTGAAAAGTACCTACACTGAGAAGCAGTATCCATCGGCGTTGTTGAAAACTTTCGACGATCCGTGGTCGGAAGAGAGACGGCCATGGTTGCTATTGAAATCTGGTTACGAGACCCTGGCAGCGAGGGACGAGGACTTGATTTGGTGGGCATAGGATGGAGTTTTACTGCTTGAGATATTTTACAGAGATTCTAGAAAATTACACTACAGGAATGCCGTCGAGAAGGTCATCAAAGAACTCGCGAAATGTTCCGTGTATTTGGAGATCTGTCCTATGTACTATAGCCTGTCTTGTACTATCAAAAAGGAGGTCTACAATCATATCTTGCGCTTAGAAATGACACATATAAGCCTACTGTATAGGTTGCGAGTGAGATCCGATACAATCTCAAACCGGCAGAATCAAAAATCTTTCCAGTCCTGTTCCTCATCGACGACCGTGAGTCTTTTTATCTGTCTTTAGAGTGTATCATTTCTGCTGACCTTGAATCTTTTGGAAATTCAGAGAACGGCAAATTTACCGATTTCATCAAGTATTACTTCTCAGCCGATTTTTACATCTTCACGCTCAGTGGGCAAGAGCTTGTTGACATTGCCATGTGCAGCGTAGACAGGCCTTTTACGCAGTTAAAGTATGCTAGACGTTCGCTTTATCGTCCATCCATTGTGACTGCAAGCTTGTTTTGAAGGAATTGGTGCAGCGAATTTGCTGGACTTATTGGCGATTCGGAAGAAGGCTACCACTCCTCGGAATCCAATAATAAGTGAGTTCGCGAGAGGTTCCTCATCTCTCTTTTGGATTCTATCGTAGTATTGTGTTAACGATTTATATATTCTTTGGTCACTTACTTAGAGCCGTATATGGATTCAATCATTCGGCCACTGTGTTCCCATCCCCCTCCCCCGCCACCATCCTTCACATTTACAAAAGATTTGCTTGTGTACGTTTGGATGAGCTATATGAGTACATAGGCTTTCATTGTTTCCTATTGTTACAACTCTTTACATCTCGCTTTATGAGCCGCAGCTCGCTCCATAGAGCTTATTAGGTTGGGGGATGAACGAAGCGTACTTGGGCAGGGGTTATTTTTTTTAAATATGACGCCATGTCATCGCTGATATTCACTTCGTAAGGTCTTGCTTTGCATGTAGATGGCCATTGTTCTCTTCACATAGGTTTGAATTCTGCAAGTGCTCCTGGAATTAGTAATCTTGCTTTTGAAATCTGTTTTCTGTCATGATTTTGAAGCGCATAACTGTAATAAGTTCGCCCTAGGGTCGCAGACTATAAAGCTGCAGGTGAATAAGGCAGATATACGCTAAGAAATACATGCTTAATATATGTCGCTGCTGGCTGGGGGCTGTGCTGAATGCTTTATTGCGTATAGCGTTCTTCTTTTTGCGATTAGTCCTTGGTCAGTCTGTCCTGCTCCAGTCATCCGCAGCTAAGTATGAAAACAAGTCCTTGTTGTGAGTTACCCTTGCAGTGTAATTTGTATCAAAGTGTTTCATTATTTCAGTTCTGGAGACGATTATTATGGTCGCAAATTTTCTCGGCGGATAAATGATTACGACCTTCTTTATGCTGGAAATCGCCACAATGCTGAAACATATCATGAAAGAGATCGCCATACTGCTGAAACTTACCATGACCGAGAGTATATCGACGACAGAAGGAGTGATGAAGGCTCGTACAATGAGCGAAATTATCCCTCTCAAGGGTATGAGGAGCGAGAAACTTCGTGTACTCGTAAAAATACACATGATTCTTATTCCTCCCATGTCAGAGAATCCACCACCGAATATCCTCGCGGTCACGAACAAGAGGGCAGCGCTTTTAGGAAATGCTCGAGTGTCTCTTTCTCCGATTACAAGAAATGCAGTCGTGTTGAAAGCGGTGTTTTTAATGTTGATGAAGAAGAATTGGACAACATTCCATCCCGAAAGTATTCCAGCGTTCTTCGTCCAGCTCCTAGAACAACGGGTAATCGTGTTGAAAGCGGTGTGGTGAGCATGGATGACGAAGAATTAGACAGTGCTCCTCTCAAGAAGTATTCGACTGTCTCTCGCTCCAGTCTTAGGAAGAATAGTCGTATTGAAAGCGGGATCCGTAAACGCTGCTGTGCATCATATCAGGATCGCAGCACAAACGATCTTCGAGAAGAGAGACTTTTGGAAGATGAAGCTCGTGAAAGCTATGTGGAGTATGATGCTCGAGGGAGACGTGAAGAATCACCCAGTGATAGACGCGATCGCTCAACGGGAAGAGCTGATAATGACAGGAACGTTAACGATGACGATGCTGAAGGTCGTGATCATTGCGAAAGAGACCAAAAAATCCAAGAAGGTATGTATACTGGGTAGATTTTGATGCTTTTTTGGCACGTCAGTAAACACTCGAAACAATACCTCACCGGTAGCTTCGCGTCTTCCATATCTGAAAATTATTCTAAAAAGTTGTGTGAGGAATCAAATTTTTCCTATTCGTCTTTGCAAGGGGCCGAGGGTTATCTACAGCTCATGTTATTTCCTTTTCCATGCTTATACAACGTGTTTGTTATAGAGCCTCTTTCGGATCAAGCTATCGCCTCCGCTTGTGACATAGATCTAGCTCTTGATTATGTAAAAGAAAACAGTCAGGATCCGAGTATAGTAAGTTTATAGCCTGTATGGGCTATGTACTTGGCTAATTTTCTTGCTCAGGCCTCCTACGTAGCTGTGCCTTATTTGTTCAACCGACTAGAGTCTCCATTCGAAGATTTGAGGACAAATATAAATGTGATGCGGCTTATGTATTTGGCATGCTCCGTGGATTGTCTTGGAGAAGAATACGAGAAAGCTTCACTTGACATCGTCAAATCGCTTATCTCATCGGGGTACGTTTTGAGATGTTTATATAGCAGCTTTCTCTCGGCGAGCGATAGAAATTCTCGCTTGGTGCAGGTTTTTCATAGAAAGCATAGGTTATATGCCCAAATTACAAACTACATTGCAGTTACATTCAAAAGATGTGCATTTGGTTTGGTTCACCAGCTGTAGACGATTCAAGCTTGTGGAGTGATGATTTATGTGAATTTTTGGTGTCGATCATGAATCTGTTTATAGTGATTGATGAATTTAAGCGCCGCAGCGATGAGATTGTAAGTATATTTGCAAATCTTTTCCTGACCTCTTTTCCACATTCTGTGATAGGCGGACGCTTGGAGAAAGTACCTCCGTCTGCTTAATGCGTTACCGGTAAACTTTTGGCGCCAAGTGCCTGCTCGCTACTGGCTTGAAGAAAAGGCGGAACGTCTAGAGGTGTGGACTTTTATCTTGTAGCAAGTGTTCATTTATTTTTTCTAGCACTTGGGCTGTAGTCGCGATCGTATTGGTAGGAAGAAAAGTTCAATTTCTCCAGCTGTGCGCGATAGTCCTTTCCGCCCCAAGGAAGAAAACAAGTGAGCACATAAGCTAAGCTTTTGCCGCGATACCACACTAACCCGATGGGACTGTCTTGTAGCTCCGTTCTTCAGAATTGTCAACTCTCCGGATGTCACATTTGAAGATGCCTTTGCCCCTGCGCTTTGGGAAGAATGTGAGAAGCGGAAGCCACCTTTTGACTATCGCGAGTTGTGTGAGATTCCAGTCATCAAGGACATTCATAACACTGGTGCATCTCCCAAACTTTCATCTAAGGATTGAAAATTATTGAAAGCGGTTGCAGACGCTCCTTATCTACGTCGTGCTATCATTGATGGTCATTATGAAAACTCTGCACACTACCTGGACGTACTGTTTCGTTTGTTCCGCGAAGACTTGATCAGTCCGCTCAGGGATGGATTGGCGGTGTACAAGCTTAACGGTGCGTCTCATGAAGTCTTATCAGCCCATAGTGAGATATGGTACAATACTATGACCGCATTGTTAAGGTAGTACGCGCTACCAGAGATTGGTCGAAGACGATAATCAGCCCTCCTCAGACTTGCTTATTTTTGACACAGTAGGAGTAGAAGGTGTACAAGTTCGCTCCAGTGATGGTACATTATTCAGATACGCTAAACTCAGTGTAAGTAGAACAATTTAATAAAGTAATTCTAATGACAACAATCTCCTATTTAGGAGGAGTCACGCAGTCATCCAGCGCTTTCTCGCAATCTCATGTTTGGGCAGTTAGTCTGTCTATCTTGTGACGGTTTCCATGAAGACTTACATCTTGCTAAAGTAGTGGAGCGCAAGGAAACTGTAAGTTCAACTGATTGCTGAAGTTCGCATCCAAATAATGTCTACAGGAAAACACTGGAATCGTAGCTCTCACTTTTATGAATGAGGACAACACAGTCAAGAAGGGGCGGTCATACAAAATAGCTGAGCCACAAAGCTATCTGGTTGCCTATCAGTACGTTCTACTAGCATTAAAGGTACTTAAATGTTGAATTGGATATTTTTGGTAAGAAAGTTGGAATTGATTGTTTTAATTTCGCAGGGTATCAGCCCTTATAGTCCAATTGCATTTGAACGTTATATCGTTTACGGGAAATGTGATGTACGCAAACCATTGTACATGAGGATTGAAGAAGATGTTGAGGATATAGTCAGCGATGTGGAAATAAGAGTAAATTAATGATTTTTTGGGCACGAGTTTCTTCAAGTGTCTCTGATGTGCTTTTTAGAAGTATTATGAGGACCTTCGAAAGGAAACCAGAATAAAACTCGCGCAAAATTCCGAAGAGTTCCGGTGAGCTTCCTTTTAGCTTGATGATAGTCGTATACTCGAGACTTTACCGCTGCTATCAGCAAATGCTGCGAATTTTCTGATATTTATCTTTTTAGTGAAATTGAAGATGAGCTGAACACTTCGTTGACGAAGAAGAAAGTTGGCGTTATCAATGCTCACGGTAAGTGCTTGAATCTTGCAATTTGAGTGTGCCTGTGTGCTCACATTTACATCATTATTTTTCACTTTATCTTGCTCGGTGTATGCTATCACCTGTTTTGTTTCCAGAGCTGGAACGGATCAAGATTAAGGATGCAGTGCACGAGGTAAGTTCATTGGAATACCAAAAATTCACTTGACTGGATTGTTTTCCTTCTTTCGTCTGCACATGCTTCATGCGGGAAACATTGCTAGAATGCTCGAACTACCTGTTTTTGTAGCTTGATAAATTGGACAATGCGGACGTATTCCCCGACCTTGATGACAGCCAACGGCAAGCTGCTATAAAGGCGCTCACAAACGAGCTGGCTATAATACAAGGACCTCCGGGCACAGGTTTTGCTTAAGGTTTCCTTAGTAATAGCTGCTTTGAACTCTGAACTGCTTTTCAGGGAAGACGTTCATTGGTGTCGAAATTGCCAGAATAATGCTTCATAATCGGGATCGCTGGGGAATTACGGAGCCGATACTTGTTATGGCGTACACTAACACGGCATTGGATCAGTTTGCGGAAAAACTTTTGAAAGAGGTAGTGCAGTGGGTGTTGCCTGGAATGTAAAGCGGCATGATGTTAAGGCGCACTTGGACATTGACAAAGGCTACTTCAAACATGAGTTTCCCATAGCAGCACGTCTGGGTTCGAAGTCAGAAAGTGAATTGTTGAAGAGGTAGAGAGTCTCTAAGTGAATCTTTTTGGTGTAGTTATTCACTTCGCTTCTTTAGCGCTAGATTTATGAAGAAAGATGTGATCAACGATTGGTCCATCGATCTGAATACGGATAACGTTATCAAGGAAGTTGAAACAACTCAAAGGAATAAGAGAGAAGCTCGTGAAAAGCTATCCGATGCCGCTTGTGTGCTGTGCGTCTACAAGAGGTAAACGATCTGACTTGCTTTTGAAATCATGCTAACGTTTACTGCACTTTTTTTCAGAGACCTCATTAGTTACAAGGCTCTCGCCAAGGTCATTCCTGAAAAGTTCAAAGCTGAACTGAACGGATGGAAAATGTCACATCGCGATTCGTCTGGATGTGAGCTAGATGTATGTGTTTTATTCTGGAAATTGTCAGGTTTTGGTGGTGTTGAAGTACTTCTTCCAGAATGATGAAGCTCTGGCATGTTGGCTATTGGATAAAGCATACACAAAGGACGACATTGCTATGGATCTACCTACACTTAGTGACGATGAACTGTTTTTACCGGAGGTTTGCAGACGAATTGGTATTTTATAAAGGGAACTAGGGCTACGTCCATAGTCTTGTTCTGGTTAAGAGGCAAGGCACAAATTTCATCGCTTCAGGACCTGCCTTCAGATGATGAGGAGGAAAGCGCTCCAATAGAGAAGTTACTGGAAGATGCCAACGTAAGTCATAAGCAGGGTCAAGCAAGGGGTGTGGCACACGATCGCTGGTTACGACCCCCCCCCCCCGCCCCCCCTGATTGCTGTCTTAGTAAGACCCCCCCCCTAAACTATACATTTAAGATAGCATTACTTGAAGGCCCTGTCAAACATAATGGGCAACATATCCATAATTAGCATGTCGAATAACCCCTGTAGATAAAGTGTGAGCGAATTCTGAAGATTCAACATACTAGACTACCTAAGTGAAATGGTCATTTTTCAACATGATTAACATTGTTTCAAAGGTGAATTAGCTATCCGTTTTTGCACACAAGACAAAGCACTACTCCTTCTTTGTCCACCCCAGGAATCCCGCTTCAGAAGACCTCCAAACTGTGGAATTAGAAGACAACCAAAATCTCATTTTTCCCATTTTTCGCCCTTAATGGCTGCGCTTTCACCAACTATTACTCAGAGCAAATACTACTGTGAAAACTAGGAGATCTAGGCTATCGATCCATATAAATACTGTCCGCTAAAAATGTTTTTTTTTTTGATATAGTTAATGGGGTGCGGCACACCCCCTTAAAAGCTGCGGCGGCCGCAGCTTTTAAGGGGGTGTGCCGCACCCCATTAACTATATCAAAAAAAACATTTTTAGCGGACAGTATTTATATGAATCGATAGCCTAAACCTTGTAGATTCCATAGGACTGTTCTGAGCCTGATTCGTCTTCTTAGCTCCAAATAATATTTGGTGAAAGCACAGCGATCAAAAGCGAAAAATGGGAAAAACGAGATTTTGGTTGGCTTCTAATTCCACAGTTTGGAGGTCTTCTGAAGCAGGATTCCTGAAGTGGACAAAGAAGGAGTAGTGCTTTGGCCTGAGTGCAAAAACGGATGGCTAATTCACCTTTGAAACAAAGTTAACCATGTTGGGATTTGACCATTTCACTTAGGTAGCCTAGTATTTTGAACCTTCAGAAATCGCTCACACTTTGTCTACAGGGGTTATTTGACATGCTAATTATGGATATGATACAAATATCATGTTATCATTATTATCAGATTACCCAACTACGACCCCCTCCCCTTTTGACTCCTCAATACGACCCCCCAGGTGTGGCGTGCCGCACCCCACGCTTGACCCTGGTCATAAGCGTTTTAGGTAACCCTCTGTAATTTGCTAGTAATGACGAAAGGCTTGGTTCTCCAAATGTAGATAATTTTTCCTTGATCCACAACTGTTGCTCCTTGATATATAAGCCGTCCAGTTACAGCGTACCTTTATACATAGCTTACGGTAGCTTTATAGCGCCTTGCGCTGAATGAAGAAGATCAAGACGAGGCAGATGACTTTTACCTAACGGAGCGTGTCTGGGACATCGTTCGGGACAGTCCATCCATGAGCCATGTTGTACTGTTCCACAATAAATTCAAGGATATCAGTGGAAATGTACGAGTGAGTTCAGCTACTCTATTTTGTTGCTTTGCCTAGTGTTCACAGCTTACTTTCAGAGAACGCATGACAGTCTGATAGCTATGGAATGCGGTGAGATTAGGGAAGCGATTCTCAAAGTAAGATATCTCCATCAATCTGTTAGATATCAGAAACATTCTTTCTGGAATTGATCTAGGTGAAACCTATGATGAGTGAAGATGTTGAGGATGTTAAGTATATATTCTCGCTCGCGAAACAGCGTCGATGGGAGCTGTACGTATATTGGATGGATCGCCTTGTAAGCATTTTACCAATCTCGTTTTGGTTTCTTTAAAGTGTGCTGATTTCTAGCAAGAATCCACTAGACTCCTATTGCCAGCGCTAACTGAGAGTTACCAGTCGGCTTGTGATAGCGTGAAAAACGCAATGCTTAATAAGGATGCAGAGGTTTTGAGGAAATGTCTGGTAAGCGGTCTGCTCTAAATTTTTTTTTTGTATCGCTGAATGTCCAGGGAATGAACGTCAGAGGTTTTCCCGGCTTTGAAAATATGCAGCTTGTTTTTAGTTCATTTGTGCTACCACTACTGGAGCAGCAAAGGAAATCGAACTCCTTAATAGGATTCAATGTCGTGTAATATTTGTTGAAGAAGCAGCTGAAGTAAGAGTATTGCAAGGCCTGTGTAATTCTTTTTGTTGATGAGAATAATTTCAGGTTCTTGAAGCTCACATTCTTGCTTCACTTATGCCATCTGTGGAGCATATGGTGCTGATTGGAGACCATCAGCAGTTGAGACCCAACCCTTGTGGGTATCCATTCTTGTCGTTTAGAGTTGTATAGTGCACTGTCGCCTCTAACCATCGATAAGCAAGATGGCCAACAACATTGTTGCTTCGCTTGAAGACACCGTCCCCCTAATTGAGGGTGACGAGAATTTCATGCCGTGTAATGGCGGGGCGCTCAAAGGCACCGTCCACCCAATCTCGACTTCCATGTTTTGGTCGTTTCGGGGCCTTCTCATGTCCCTGATTGCGAATATGAAGTCGAGAATCCGCGAGAACCCCGACAATCCTCTTTCCGGAGAACCCGTAGGCCAGTACTCCGCTACGGTGATTGGATGGGCGCGCATGGATAAGCGGGCGTTATTGGAGGGGGCGGTGCCGACTTGAGATCCTCATGCCTCTTCGCTATTCTGAAGCGGTCTTCTCGCCTCCTGCACCGCGACTTGGGCATTGGCTTGATAGGGGGGGGGGGGGAGTCCTACTATCGTATACTACCAAAAGCTCGAGACCCATATCTTAGGGTGGACGGTGTCTTTAACACAATGACGACCGCTTGACAAACGTGGTGTTTCAAAGGATGACTACCACGTGAGACCGTTTGACACACATGGTGTGTCAAGTATTGAATTCAATAAAATGGCGACTATTCTGGGACTCACTTCAAGAATTTTCTTTTGCGCTGAATTTAGAAACAACCTCCATTTATTTTGTCAGCATCACAGAGCTACTGTAGATACACCTTAGATGGCGGTACGCGGGATTGTAAGGAAAAATGTTGAATGTATCAAGACAAGCCTTGATCATGAATGGCAGACAACTCATTATTTGCGGTCGTCAGTGTGTTAACTGAGTAATCGCTCAAGTCCCGCGGCAACGAGTTTCGAAGAAAGAGTATCGCTCCAAAATCGCTTCTACCTTTTGGAGCCATTTTCTCGCTTCTAAATTCGTCTTTGCAAAGGACTTGGGCAACTGCTTACTTGGGTCCCGCTATTATACAGCATCAAAGTATCACCATCATCAGCTTGGGTGGACAATGCCTTTAACGTACTTAAGAAGTTGCTTTCTATAGATGTTCATTTGTTTGCTGGATAGATGATATATCTGCATGCATATACTCTAGGTGTGTATGACTTGGCTCGTGATTACCACCTGGACGTGTCTTTGTTCGAGCGATTGGTGAGAAACGGATTCCCGTACACGACCCTGCAGGTGCAACATCGAATGAACACGGCCATCACGGATAACATCATCCGCCCATTCTTTTATCCGAAGTGGGTAATTATGATCAGAGACAAACTCACTGGGAAATTGCCTTGACGCTAAAGCGTTAGTGTACATCGAATGTCAGGATTAATTTGCCTTTATAGAATTGTTGACGACGCCATTGTGCTTGAGTATCCGAATGTTCCTGGAATGGATAAGAATTGCTTCTTTTGGATGCATGATGCGAAGGAATCGACTACCCCGATTGCAACTTCTCGATGGAACGAGCATGAGGTTCGTTTTTTGTTGGTCACTGGCTACCAGTAAGGGGTGCAGTAGAGGGTGAGGGCGGGGATACCAAGGAGGACGATTCTTGTAAGTGGAATATATCTCTTTCAAAATTAGGCAACTAACCGTCAACTTCAAGTAATTTAGATAATCTTATGAATCTTTTTGAGTCGTAAGTGTCAAAGAAATTGTTGAGTTGGAGGATTGACTTGCGCTAACCTATAGACGAAAATATTCCTATTCCCCCCTCCCCCAAATGTCTGCTCACCATCTCTCGATGCCTATGCTTTGTCGGTGCATATAAGACATGCTTGAAAGCTACTTTAGGTTCATATGGTTGTTGCGTTGATCAGGTACTTGAGAAAGCAAGGAATCGAGTTTGAGGAGGTATTGCGCTCTCGCTATCTTCTGACGGATTATTGCATCTATATGATTTTCTTGGATATAGATCACCGTCATTGCGGCATACTCAGCACAGATGATGGCTTTACGTGAAGCCATTGGAATTACTTTTGGCCGATTGAGAGAAGATCAAAGCGCTGTTTCGGTCCAGACTGTTGACAGCTACCAAGGAAAGGTCAGTAATTTGAATAAATTCTCCGTAGATCTCATCTCCAAAAATTTCAGGAAAATCGCATAATAATAGTGTCGTTGGTAAGATCAGAAATGGACGGAATCGGATTTCTAGCGGTAATCTTGAAGCATGTTTTTGTTGCACATTTTGAAAAATATTTTTTTGAGGTGAAAAATCGTATCACCGTCGCGTTGACTCGAGCCAAGCATGGAATGTACGTGGTTGGAAACTTCGGTTATTTGTCTCACTGCTCGTCATTCTGGGATAAAATCTGTAACAAAATGTTTGACAATGATCTCATCAGTACAACACTGAGGATAAAGTGTAAAACACATGGGAATGTGCAGGTACAATATTATCAACTCAAGTGCCTTTGATTTTTTGTTTTACATCTATTACAGGAAATAGAGACTCCAAGTGATTTTGCCGAAAAGTCGCCGGAAGGCGGCTGTCAAGAAATTTGCGGTGCTGCGCTTGCGTGTGGACATAACTGTCCGCGAAGGTAGGGTCCCATATGGGTGTTTGCATACTCTTTTGGGCTTCCTTGCGGATTTTTTTCGTGTCGAACAATACAGCGGATTGAGGGGGTAATCTTGATCGATAGTCTTTTCCAGATGCCATCCAATCGACGATCATGAGGGGTACCCTTGTCTCCAGCCTTGTCTCAGGAGGTGTAAACAAGAACTTTATCGCCATCAATGTCAGCGACAATGCTATGAAGTAAAGCGAGCCCAACTTCGGGGGTTTCAGATTATAGTCTTTGCTTTTTTTACAGGATTGTGGCCTATGTATGCATGTGGTTACGGTATCGTTAGATTGTGGGCATTTGACAAACGTAGTATGCTCGTCAATAGCCACTGCAGTATGTGCTGAAAGGCAAGATTGTCTTAGAGAGATGTATTCTAAAGTGCACTTTTCGCGATTATTATATTTTCAAATTTTCTGTTGATTCACCGCTCATATTGAAAGACATTTTACTTCACAATTATTGAATTGCACAAGCGAATTACGAGAACCCAGAACAATTTCTTTTTTTAGATGTAGCAAAAAGCTATGCTGTGGTCATCAGTGCTCCAATCGCTGTGGAAAACCATGTACTATCATGTGCCAAGAGGTATTTTCTTTTTTAGTTCTGGGATTTTCTGACTCTTTGAAATTGTTTCAAACTCGCATCGCGCTTCTGTTCGAATCTTTTGTTTTAGCCTGTGACTCTATCGGGAAAAAATTGCAAACACACTTGGAGTGTACCCTGCTGTGAGAGCAACGTCAATCTTGATTGTCCCAAAACCTGTGGTAAAACGCTTGAATGTGGACATACTTGTGTTGAACTTTGCGGAAAATCTTGCACAACCTATTGTAAAGCGGTTAGTGGAGATTTCCTTTCCTGGAAATGTGATGTCTCCTGAAAGTGGCTTCTAGGAAGTAACTCGCAGATTGAGGTGTGGGCATTCTATCACTATGGCATGTTCTGAAGACGAGACTACAAAAAAATGCGAAGTGAGTATTAAATGTGTTCTCTGAGCTGTTAGTCTCCAGGAGCAAAGAAAAGCTCTGACGTCTTGTTAACACGGCAAATTACGTTTTTGACTGTAACTTCTCTTTTAGACCCCAATTTTACGTGATCTGGAACGCTGCGGTCATTCCGTGATGATTCCTTGTCATGCTGGGATGGACTCCTCATATTGTGTCGCGTTTTGTGGCAAAAAGTTACCATGTGGACATCAGTGCCTGAAGGAATGTGGAGAATGTTTCAAAGGTAATGTTCGCGCATATTCGCGTAACAGTGTCTATCTAAATGATTGGGGTGATGATTTTAGGTGGCGGTTGCAAGTGCGATTCTCTCTGTGGAAAAATATTGCCTTGTGGACACAAATGTACAAAAAAGTGGGTTTCCATGCTTGATTTCATATTTATTTAGTGTGCGACATTGAAGGGGTTTTTTTGCGTTTGTTCATTTCAAAAAAATGGAAGACTTTATTTTTTTTTCAGATGTGGTGTCCAGTGTGAACCATGCATATCGCCATGTTTGTCAAGATGCAAACATCAGTATTGTGGCAGCGGCGGTACCATCCAGGTACAGTACGCCATCATATATTCAACCTTTTGTCATGTGCTTTACTGTAACCCAGTTGTACACTACTTCTCGAGGAGAAATTTTTGTAAATTATACAATTTTCTTTTTAACAAGGCTCCCAAAATTTGCTTCAAAGTCAGCTGTTCAGTAGATCATTCACAGTCAATCTCCAAAAATTCCCTCAAATGTTTTGCATTATTCAGGAAATTTCTTACGGCCGAAATTGTTCACAGCCATGCGTACTATGCCCTCACATGTGCGACAATAGCTGTCAACATCGTAGTTGCGGCAAGAGGTATCCTGTCTCCGTGGTTAAGCATTGAATGAGTTGATCATACAGGTGCTATGAGGTTTGTGACGTGAAGCCGTGTGAACAGCCTTGTACGTTGCGACTGATGTGCGGACATGGATGTCTTGGCATGTGCGGAGAGACTTGCCCGGGTAAGCTTATTAATTATACATGGTATCACTACCAAATGTATCACTGTTAATTTTTCCTAAGCTCAATAGAACCGTCAGGTATACATTTTCACTGATTTACTCTAATGTAGGCCTCTGCGGCACGTGCAGGAAGCAGTCCTATCTGGCACTAATCAAAGAATATCTCGGAGTATTTGTAGCTCTCAGCAAGCTGCCACGGCTTATTGAAGTCGACGGCTGTCATCATATCTTCCCTGTTGAGGTACTGTATCGTTTACTCCGTTAAGCATTTTGACCAGCGCATTTTGAACGCTGGACATGGGAATGCGAAACTGAGATTCGCACAGAAAATTTCAGTTGATGGTTGCATCTCCTCTGATATCGCTGTTCTTACGTAATGATTTTGTCTTTTTGCAGTATCTCGACAAGCACTTTTCATCAAGCCAAGAGCAATGTAGTATACCATCCTGTCCTTTCCCTGATTGTGACAAACCTTTGGCAGGAATACAGCGATACCTCAGACAAATCAAGAAGCGAAATCTGGAAAAGTATCAGGTTTGAGAAAGTATGTAGATTGACTGTGCCTGCATCTTACTTCCTTGCAGCAGCGGATTACATCGACGCTGACGTTATCAGAAAATTCAAGAGGAAAACTGATGAATGGCTGCTTAAATACTATACAGAAGGAGCTGAAGGAGTCTAAGAAGGTGCAACAGATTGCAACAGTGCGGCATGTTCCAGTAAGAAATGGATTTTAGATACAAAAACATTAAACAACTGCAATTTCTTTTTCAGAAAAGCGATGTCGAGATTGTGAACAGTGTAGTCGAGCTGATAACCGATGCGGAGAAATCCTTGTCGGAAGAGCGTTTGAAGAACAACGACTTATACAACTTCTGGATGGGGTACACAAAGTGAGTTCATAGCTCTCTTTGTCTAGGATATAAGCTTTTGTTTCAGATTTGTCGTAGTACTGTCTCGTTTATCGTACTCGTTTGTGAACTTGGCACGTGTTCGTGTAACGAAAACTACACCACCGCTTATTGGTAGTATTCTTCTTTTACTAGTACCTGGAGGAAGGGTACATGGGGCTTTCGTGAGTCTTACCTAATTATCATTTGATGAATTATCGCGTTCAAGGGCGTTAGAAGTGCGCCAGTTTGAATTTTTTTTTGTAAAATAGGCTTCGTTTTCCGTAAATCTTTATCCCCTTTGTCCCCAGGTAATCTTTCTGAGTAGCGGCACTGAGTTTTGGTTACATAATGCATTAAGACGTATATATTGTTATCTTTTTTGGAAGGAGCATATTGGAGTTTACGATCCCTACAATGTGATTCTGCACTTCCTTTGGATGTGCTGCAGCTGTAGACTATCATAAATTGAACTTATGGATAGTCCTTATTCACGACAGCTGCGCACCATGGGAACCGTTATCGCGCACTAAGCCTTCGACAGTTGTTCCCGAATTGTAAAATATTTAGCCTAGTACGATTGCAGAGACGAGTTTAGCAGCTGGGTTGTTCCAGCTATTTGTTGATTGTTTGCTTGCTCTTCGAATTTAAAAAAAAAACACTATACGACGAAATTGGTGAAATCGCTTTGTTAGGAATGATTTGAGTAATTTGTGACTTGAAATACTTACAATTAGTACGCGCATAGAACTGGCTAGCCTGATAGTTTTTTGATAGTTTTCTAACAGGATATAAGGTTACGAATTGATATTTTTACAGGGTAGAGAAATGAAGGAACTATGTGGATGGTTGAGAAATTATGGATTGACAAGGCTTACCGGTGTTCTGGTGCCACGCGCTCGTTTCCTTGCTGTTCGTTCCATATTCTTAAATGATGTGAGTAATTCCCTAATTTTCTTTACGTAAACCGAGCCAAAAATTATTATATTCAAAGTGTAGTTTTAGTTGATGCTGCTATGTAAACATTGTCATTGGGAAGCGAGAGACTTACCGAATAAAGAAGTTGCGGATGCTATTTTCAATTGTGCTCGTAAATTTTTGGAAGCTACTCCTGAAAAGAACTACTTATCAATCTTAGGTGAGATATTTCCTGAATTTCGATAGTTGATTGAATATCATGTTTCAGATGAATTTGAGCAACTCATGGTCAGTGTTTTGAAGAAAATCGGACTCGATGGGAAATTCCAAACTCGTGAACAGCTCAAACTTGAGATTCCGGAATTCTAATTGTACCACGATCTTTCTTGTTTTTTTTTTGTTTTTTTTTCAGTGATATATTCTCATGACCTCTTGGTGATTTGCCTTTGATCTGACATGATTACATGTGAAGGCATATTATTTTTGTTTGATTCTGATACTAAGATCTAGTTGTTTTTCGAATCTGTGCTCATAGCATATCTCTTACGGTCGGTGTTATAGTATATCTTCGGGTTTATTGCTTTACTTTGCTTTGTCGTATCTGTGCATAGTTGCTTAAATGTTGAAAAAAAACAATAATAAAAAAAGGGTTATCTATGGAAGTGTACTTGCTTATTTGCTATTTGCTGTGTTCATAGGTCGTTCTCCTGGCATGAGGTGTAAGATTTTGCGCCTTGTACCGTATTTTATCATAGCCCAGTTACGGTAGTGGTATAAATTGGCAACTTTTCTTTTTTTGTGATTTTTGTAAGGGATACATACGAACACATTTTATTCTCACCTAGAATACAGAAACTCGACCATTCTTTTTCAAACATGGAAAGGAAGAGAAACTAAAGAGAGAGCAGCGAGAATGAGTGGAATTCAATAAATTTCACTTCCCTAGCGCATCACTGCAACATCATGTAGGGACAATCGATATATTGATTGGGCACTAGATTTGCTACAGAGGTTGGTATCCAGTGACGCAGAGACGTCATGAATAAAAAAGACAAAGAATTTGCGTAATAACCGTATCTACAGACCCTGTCGAGGTCTTCACGCGCTCTTGCACACACATACAAAAAATGCAAAAAACATAAAAACTGAAAAATAAATGTGGCGAACTAAACATGGGATAGAATAATCTCAAGACTAGATTAACAAATTCATAAAAAAATATATAGATTTGGTATAAATGGCATCATAAAACCGGAATATGTAGATTCAGTGCATAATGAATATGTTATTATTGATTGAGTCGTTCCTTTTCTGGCGGTACTTGACGTGGTTGACTAGCAACGCTGCTGTATTTATTTCCATTAGAAGTTTTTCCCTGAAATGCACAAAGATTGATATGAAGGACTCCGCATTTATTTTGCACAACAACACTATCTGAAGGATTTACGGTAGAATTACGGTACGGGATTAAACAGGGATTTGCCCGAAACTTCATATAACGCGTTTGTTGACACGCTGAACATGATTATCTTGTTGATTTCGCATGGTAGCGCCATTTTCTCGGGTTACAGGCTCGTATTAAGCTAGGTATGCGGTAGATGGGTAAAATTCCAATTCGCTCAAAATTTTGCCTATCCGGAAGGGGGGGGTACCTTATTTACTTGATCATGCCATATATCTAATGCAACTTTCACATTCTCTTTTGATTACCGTGCTGAACAATCCCTCTTGGCAAAGTTATCCATGAACTGTGGGTTTTAATTCTACCGTATACTACTTTACTTTCGAAAAAAGGCTTTGTACGAAATCATTACAGTTGTGGTCAGCATGCCAGATAATCCCTTGTCAGGCATAAGTCATACTTGATCCATTTAATCCGCTTGATTCATTTCATCCACTTCGCTATTGGTCAAATCAGCGGACTGACCAACAGCGAATTGGAGGAAGTGGACGATGTAGATCAGGTGGACATTAACTTTACTATTGGTTAGTTCTCCAGTTTGACCACGAAATACCCTCTGATTCAACTGGCTTGGTGGCTGGAAGGCGGGGCTTCGGGCCTAGTTAAGGCTAGTTGGTGCTCAGAGAGCAAGCTCGCAAGCAAGACGCGTCGCGGGCGCGAGAGGCCTTGATTAGGTCACAAAACCCCACCTTCCAGCAGCCAAGCCAGTTGAATCAAAAGTTGAATAGAGTGGCGCTGTCTGGCGCTAGCAAAATCATGGTTCTGACTTTTAGGATTCCTTAATTGGAAGAGCACCAAGAAAAGTTGGTCGAATTTTTCCATTGTATATTTTGAGGAAAGCTTTCCGCGCTAGACTTCCGAGTGCTTGATTTCGAATTGGATTTATCATACCTTTTGACAACAACATCGTTTACGATATGCGCAAACGACTGCTATCAGCGCTAAACAGACGACAACAGTTGCACCAAATACCCATCGTGCTAACATGCCCTTATTGCTGACAATTTGTTGCATAAATGTCATATCCTAAAAAAATTCATTTTTTACCATCGTAACGTTTCTACCAAAAATGTCCCCTACCTTTTCCTCGTCTTCTTCGTCCTCTTCCTCGTCTTCCTGGTAATCATTTTCGTCGTCATCATCACCTTGCCCACCGTCCTCTTTACTCGCTTGTGCACTATCCCTGTCATCTTCGCTTTTTTCACCATCTCCCTCATCTTCATTATCTCCCGTATCTTCCACGTCATTTTTAGTCTCATCATCATGTTGTTTGATCATTTCTGCTGGACCATCAGCGTCATCGTTGTCGGCCTTGTCATCCTGATCGTCTTTTGTGGTACTGTCATTGTCATCTTTGTTATCTTCACCGTTTTCGCTGGTATCTTTTTCTGTGTCATTTGTGCCATTGTCATCGGTGCCAGTCTTGTCTTCTTCTTTGTCATCATCTTGCTTGTCGGCCTTTGAGTCATCCTTGCCTCCTTCTTTGTCATCGTCATCTTTTTCGTCATCGTCTACTGGTATTGGTAGAGGTCGATCTGAAAAGGAAAAAGGTTTGAAGACGTAAATACACTATGGTAAAAAAATTATGATTTTGTTTCAGTAAAAGAGTATTGAGATTTTTCACGAGTTTGTAAATATTTCAGTTTTCCTTTTTTCTAGAAGTATTTTTGGATGAAGTGAACAAAGCGGAAGACCGCTTGCCTTCTTCACCATCCTTGTCATCGCCTTCACTCTCACCGCCACCACCACCTTGACCGTCAGGCTCGCCTTCTTGGTCATCTCCTTCCTTCTCTTCCTCGCCTTCTTTCATTTGCTCTTCATCCTCATCTTCATCTTCTTCTTTCCCATTATCATCTTTCTCGACTTCTTTCTGCCCTTCGCCCTTGGTTTTCTCCTTTTTCACTTGATCATCACCTTCTTCTGTATCTTTAATTCCCTTGTCATCCTTTTCCTCCTCTTCACCGGTTTGCACATTTTCTTCGCTCTTCTGTTCCTTATCTTCATTATCATCCTCTCCTTCTTGTTCATCATCTCCGGTGTCGTCTTTTCCTTCCTTTTCTTTTTCTTGTCCATTACCTTCAGTATCATCCTTTCCTTCTTTTTCATCACCTTCCCTATCTTCGCTATCTTCTTTTTCTCTTACGTCTCCTTTAGCAACTTCTACCTCCTTTTCTTCACCATCTTTCTGATCGTCTTGGTCATCGCTTTCACCTTGATCCTCAGAGCCTTCTTTCATCTTTTCTCCATCACCCTCCTCTTTATCCTTTGCCTCGCCTTCCTTCTGTTCTTCTTCTGCTTTATCTTTGTCTTCATCCTGATCTCCTTCTTCACGATCACCTTCCTCTTGATCTTCCTTCTCATCTTCATTCACCTCTCCTTCATTACCTTTGCTTGCTTCATCTTTGTCTTCTTCCTTGTCTTCTTCTCCATCCTTTCCTTCAGCATCGTCTTCATCGTCTTTCTGGAAAAAAAAATTATAGTTTTGGGTTTTGGTTTTGATAGATGCAGAAAGGCTTCTTAAATCATTTATATTGCTGTACATTCAACCGCACATGTACAGTAAATCTAAATATTTTGAACAAAATGGTATAAACAACAATGGTATAAAAAACCAGCTGAACTTTTGAACAGTAAACACTCACTTCTTGATCTTCTCGCTTCTTTCCTTCTTCAAAGAAATCCGTACCACCCTTTTCTTCGCTCACATCTTCATCTTCGTCTTGTGTATCTGTATCTGAAGTGCATATTTGATTATCATACATTTGAAAATGCGGGCGAGAACTGGTCCCTGTATAACAGATTCCAAATGCAGGCTTTTTAAGTTGGATTCTATTATGGACGATCTCGCCACTATCTCTGATACAGTAGTTGCTTCGGAAGAACATTTGCTTGATGAAAAAAATGTGTACTGATTATTTTCGAGGTCCTATTTCGGCGTTTTGAAAAGCAAAAAATAGTTTTTATTGATTTTCCAGTCAATTTGAACTCAAAACAGGAAATTACCTGCAGGGGCTGGAAGTTTGGCAGGTGATTGAGAGTCTGTCTTCAGGTTGAACATTAGAATTTCTGATTCCACCGATGTCCTCATGTCATGCAAGATCTCGCCATTCTCATCCTAAGTGAGCATGCGATTTATAGAAACAAGTGGGGGGGGGGGGAGTAAAAGGGTGTCAACCTTAGGCTGCAGCTGTCGTGGTCGATTGACATCTACTACATAGTAGACTTGGACTTCCTCAGCGTCTCCAAAAATTTCACGGTCAATTTCTACTTCCTCTGGCAACTCGTCATCGTACTGGTCATAGTTCTGCAGTGCATCGTTGTTTTATAAAATCGAAGAGGAAGACAATCCTTGGTACCTCATTCTGTCCATATTCCTCATCTTTTTGATCTGGTGTTGTCATATTTAGGGAGATGGCATTATTGCATAAATGCACACCATCCTCTGACGAGGTTACGGTACCTTCACACACATCCGGAGACTGAAATACAAAATACATAATTATATCTTCAAAACAAGTGACTAAATACTTATGGAAACAAGATGCTAGTTGTCGAAGAGATCAAATTTTTGAAAAAAAAGCAATAAATCAAAGAGCATGTGCCTATGAGTACTTAAGCCCATCAAGAATTGGTCGCAAAATTTACGCAAGAGATCTACCATATATATATATAGAAAATAAGCAAAGTTACTAAATTCTGAAGACCGGAACATTTCTATAAATAATGTAAAAAATAAAATAGTTTTGTGAAAGTTATTTTCTGAGGGTGCGGTTCACGCTAAAAATTTGTGAAGCTGCAAAAGAAAAACTAAAGTACATGGCTGATATCCTATTCTTTGTTCAGATACAATTTTTGTCATCTTCCCCCTCTCTCACTTTTCGAAGAACCCCTAAAATTTTGTAATTTTGCAGTCATTTGCTAAGCTGACATTCAGTTTTTTTGGTTATCTTTTGAAGATTTTTTCAGGCGCTTTTGAGAAAATTTATATTAACCGCTTCCTAAATTTTTCTGAAGTAGTCGACAAGAGTGAGGTTGTGAGGAAGCGAAGGTATTTTTCGTACCTTGACCGGGAAGTCGTAATGGAATGTCAGGTTGTCCAGATCAAGCTGACGCCAGTAAGTTTCTAGCCAAAATGGCTCAATCGTAAAGACGACCGAATCTTTTTCAGTGACAGCCAGTGGGCGTGGTGGAGCTTGCAGCGCTGGAATTGGACGAGTTAACTGAATGAAATGAACTGGTGCGGACGAGTCTACTTACCGCTTAGGTAGCACACTGTGTATTCCTTCATGGTGAGGTTTGCAGGATGTTGTTTCTCGTGTAGTCGATTGTGACAGTTTATTGGGACTGAGTGAGAGCATGAGCATGGATTTTTGGCATCCACACGACTAGCTCGTGTTGGTCGCACTCCAAGGCAGACGCTGGAAATTATGATTTCTTTGGAAGTAAGGTAAAATGATATTATTCGTGAAAAATAAGGAGGATGTCTTCTAAAGATGGCGAAGGAATCCCTTATCTTAGTAGTTACTCTCTCCTGTCCTATTTTATTAGAAATCAGAACTTTTTGAAAAGTCAAGTCGTCTATAGACGCTCAATCCGCCCTAAAGCTCACCTGTAACCATTGGCAGTGCATTGTTGACAATCGACACATTGTTCTGTACTCAGTGAATCTTCGTTGATAAGATTTCTTACTCCTGAAATCATGAAAATCTAGAGTTTGTACAAATTTTTATTTGCAGAGTTTGGAATTTACGACTCGCATTTTATTTGCTGAAGGAATTCAATACTTCAGTCTAGTAGATTTGACGCCCTAAGGCTCAAGGATTACCTCACGGCGATTTCAGTTACCATGCGATCTAGCACAATTTGCCACTATGTCTTCAAATTCTATACTAGTAGAAACCAAAGGCACAGCACTTATAAGTTTCGTAGGTTGATAAAATGCCCTGTTTTCCGTACATTCAGAAACCCCCTACGATGAGTTATGACCAAATGGAAATGCCAAATCGCGTCGCGAATGAAATCGCGTGAGGTATGTTTTCCGCCTAATATAGTGCCCTCGCGGTCTTTGCAACATTCGCGCGTGTGTCGGTAACGCAATGGCACTATACAGGATAATTGGGAAATGCTTGACATCCTAATAATAATATCTATACAATAGACAGTGCTGCATCGGAAATTTCCAAGAAAATGACATTTGCTCCATGAAATTCTCATCCATACGAGCTTTGTTGTATGGCTCCGAACTACAATATAGTAATTTTACTTTTTGATGGTTCACTTTGCAAATCAGCATGCAAACTTCCTACTGTTAAATATTCCTTTTAACCCTCTTTGGGAAGGCAAAACATACACAAAATGAACTGCTCTCATCACTACATTGGTAATCATCAGATTCTGAGCATAACTCGTCCCTAGTGATGCTAAACGGATCACTATCTCAAACGTACTATTTACACTGTATAGCTGAGTGGTTCTTTTATGTGGGAATAGCGTGCTTAGGACAGATGCGCGACTGATTCGGAACGCATCCACATTTGCGACTACTGAACGCGCAAACTTTATGCAGTAGTTCAAAGTTCATCGCACAATTTGCTATACTATGAACTTCAACCAATGCAAATGTTTTTGTTTCAAAAATTGCATTTAGATTTTGCAAAAAATGAAGTCACATACTCAGATGTTTCCGGAAGGCGAAGACTTTGAAAATTTGTTTTGTGCTCTTATCTATCAAATTATGACACAAATATGTGTCAAAATACAACATGGAATAGGCTCAAATAGTCTGCATTATCACATCACATTTGATCTGAAGGACTAGACCCCCCAAAAAAAACTTTTGGACTATCAGATTTTCTTCGAAAGCATGTACCATGTGTTTCCCTATAATTTACCTTTTGGCACAAAGTTTGTAACCTAATTCCCATATATGTGCTCAATCGATAATGGCACAATTACTCACAATTATGCATAACTGTAAATGAACTTACCATTATCAAAGGCAGTCTCTGGACATAACAAATGGACACATTCTCTCTCGAAATCTGTTTGTCGAACAGCAAAGGCGCTGAAAAGAAGTATTATACTTAGTGATGCTGCACTGAATTAAACTATTGAATGGCTTGTAGCCCTACGGCTGTAAGATCTTCTTTTGATTGTTTTTCTCTACTGGAAAGAGGGTAGAAGTCTGACCAAGCTCTCGATAAAAAAAATCAGTTCCTCCGAATATGAGCGCGAAACTGGGTCCGCTGTAGTTTTGCCCTATCATACCCTTTCTCATAATCCTACCGGTTGTGGAGCCCCTTCGCCTCTCTTCTCCCCCCCCCCCCCCTCCCTGCTCTCCTTCTTTTTTCAGCTCTAGCCCAGCTTCCTTTCTTCTAACTCATCATAACATCTTTGGTCAAACAGAGCTGTAGCTACGTTCTAGTAGGACACTTCCGCTTCTGAATGCCTATATTTCTGAAGTCATAAGACTACATAATGTATCAATACAATATATTACTGTTATATGTACACAAAAGATTATTGTTAAATGAGTGCTTAATTCTGCATTCACTCGTTTGAATCGGCAGAATAGATATGTGAATACGCTGTGCAAATAGATAAATTGAGACCAAAGTTTGTTTTTCTATGGACTAGAGAACGCTTCAAATTAGGAGGCACAATCACTCAGCGTGAAAAAGTTCCAATATGAAAAAATACGGAAAAAAAAGCACGAATTCCATCTCTACCATTCCTTTTATGCTACTGTATGGTCGGGAGTAGAGAAGCAGAGCGGGAAGTGACTATGCGTCTCTGCAATAAAAAGTCGTTGTTGGCGGAAAGGTTTAACAGAAACATGGTCTCAAAAACAAAAAAATCAAGCAAATAGCATCAAAGGTTATTTTTCAAAAAAAATTGGCAAATTTAAAATTCAGTCACACTAACTCTTACAGTAGTCCACTCAAGTGCAAATAATCGACCGTTAGTTGAACTCAAATAAATTTTGAAATCCTTTTGATTTCACCTTCACCAAAAAGTAAACTTCACATTTGCCTTTCCCTCTTTCTTCCTTGTCATAGCTGCTGTTCAAAGTCGTTAGGGAATTGGATACTTCACTTCTTCATTTTCGAACCAAATAAGGTTCAGTGAGAGAGTGCGGGTCTTCAGGAGGATTTGTGGTCTGACAGAATTTGAAAAAGGAGAGCTCTTTGCTGCCTAGTGTTTCACCTATATAAAAAGCATGGTAGTCTAGAATAGACTTCAATTGTCTACATTTCGCAGGGAAGGGAGCAGGGTTTGTTGGGTAGAGAAGGGGGAGGAAAGGAGAAAACAGGTATGCATTTACTGAAGATGATTTTCATATGGGTGTGTGCCCACGTATTTCTGTATTTCTTGTAAGGATAGTGAATGAAAGATGCTGGTCAGTTTGATTGGGAAGAGACGGTAAGTATTCGCGACAGTTAAACTTGGATTTGTGGTCTGAATATACATTGGACATAGAAATTTTTTATCTGAAAAATGAGAGGATGATGGTTGGTCCGCTGGGTGGGATACGGTATGGGTAAGAATAATCGTCTTGGCCGGTAATAATTTACAGATATCTAAACACGGTGCAGCAGTGAAAAGGTGGTGTAGTTCCGCCCGGAAAGAATACGGTATGGGCGAGATGAGAGTTGATTTTCTGGCCTGAGAATAACTTCATATGTACTTAGAGCAGGGTACAGGTGTTATTTGGGATGCTTTTTGTGTAAAAAGTGGGACGGGTCGGAATGTGCTGATTGGTCCGAGAAGGGGCTGATCGGCCCGCTTGAAAAGGAGTACGGTGTGGGCGAGCTTCAGAGTATTTGTCTAAAGATGTATCGTATGGGCGCCTGAGAAAGGACTGGAGGGCTCGAATTCAGATCCCACATAGGCCAGATAATTACAATTAGGTCTTTCTGAGCACTTCGCTTACGCATCCTTTCGCTCTCAATCACCTCACAGATCCCGCGCCCATCCGCGCTGCGTTTTTTCCCTGCAGATGTCAAGTTATAAATTTCTTCATCCGGAGTCGAATAGCTGAGAGCTACGACCGCGGTAGCTGAGCCACCGAGTTATATTTACACAACGCTATGCTAAACCTCCTATTGTTTGCTCATGTAGAAGCTGCGGCGGCGTGGGCTGCGGTCGTGGTGCCGCCGCTCCCGCGCTTGGCAATGTTGCCGGGCTTTTTTCTGCTCAAATGCTCGGAGTTGATTGGAAATTTGATACATAGAGGACTGCAATGACGAAAAAGACAATTTGACGGGGCATTGACGTAAGGATTTCATTTGAGGAATCATTTTTGGATTAGCGAATATAGCGCCTTTGAGGGGTTCTTTGGTAGCGTTTTGGTAGTTCTTTCACGGAAGGTTTTGGTTGCGCGCGCAGTTAGTACAGGCCTCAATGGGTAAAGATGTACAGTTTGTAACAGATGTCCGCTCAAAGAGAGCTGGAGTGCATTCGACGGCATAGCATCTCTGTCCGATTTGTGTTATCATCGTATTTATGGGCAGGGTAAGTTACTGCCAAGAATGTGAGAAAGGAGTAGGAATGGACGAGAAAAAAGGAGAAAGGAAGGGAAGGGAGGGGGATGAGGGAGAGAAAAAGCGAGAAGTATTGAAGGTTACTACAGCAATCAAAAAGTTTGCTGTAAACACTTACCTAAGTAAAATCGTAGATAAAGCCTGCATATTCGATCGCTAAAGAAAATATGAGTGCACGATTTTCGCCTCCTCTCATATCTCCTTCAACCCACCCTTATCCACCTGATGAAAAACTTTCGTACACTCATTATCAAGGCTAGATCGAGCTCAGCTTGTACCCTACCCTCTTAATGTCTGATCTTTGCGGCTAAAAAAGCTAAATTACCTTTGATCTTGCCCTAAGATCTACAGATTTGAAGTTCCCGCATTCAAATTATGAACAAATTTCAAAACCACCTGATATGTGTAATGGTCACAAACCATCGATCAAATCCACTAAGCACTCAAAACGGGGAGGATTCACGTATTTACATAGGCGAGCACCCCCAGTCACTCTCTTCAGTTTTAGTGATTTGGCGTGGTTTTTATGATTCCCCGAAAGATGATCGAATAATTTTTCGTACTGGCGGCTCACGTGTGGAACTTCCGTTTTGATGAATTCCGTAAAAGGAGAGAATATGCGAGAAATATCACATATATGAGTAATTTTAAAGGGTAAAAGTGGAATAAGGGTGCGTGATCAAGCGCTGAAAATCGTGGAACAGTTTGTAATGCAGCGGGGGACTCCCCTTTATATTTATAAAATTGATGAGAATGCTACTGTAAGTCCAAATCTCATTGCTAAATATTCGTTCTTGAAAAATCTAGAAATGTCAAAAATCAAAATTAAAGTTCAAATCCAGTTTCTAAGATTGTTTCTGGATAAATAAAGCTTTGTACTGCGTATTCACATGCCCAAAACGGATTGTCACTGTAGGATTTTGGACAAAGGTAGCAAAATAGCCAACTTTTTTTGTGATTAGTGCACACTAACCAAGTTTCAGTAAATAACAGAGGCAAATTTTTGATTTTGACAAAATCTCCAGCCATTGCAAGAAATTATCATAGGCCACTAACGACAATGAGAAAATGTAATCAGTTTATTGCAGTATGGGAAATTAACGACAAAAATGGATTTGCAAAAATAATGCCCGCCAAAAAATGAATGCCGTGAGCGGCAGCTGTTTTTTGGCACCTACAGTATCCGCGTGCCGTAATTGGCTGTTGCATAGAGGTGATGGCACAGGGATGCATTCGCAGGAGAAAAAAGGATGATAGGAACCTATGGCTAAATAGCCAAACAGTAAGGCAAAGACACTAGTTTTCAGTTGCCACAGTACCAGTTTACAGACGTTAATAAAGAAATGCAAATGAAAGAAATTTGCACAGAGCAGAAACAAAAAGAAATAGACGAAATTTACCTGATCAGCGGTGTGGCTGCAGCCACCACACCAACGCCAAACCACCAGGACAGCATTAAGCTGCTGGAAGGCTGAAATATGAGACATTCTTTTAGGGGGTAATGCACATTGGGCGCGAGCACACGCACGGCCAAAACGCAAGCTCGCGGCTACCAGCAGAGCTCTTCGACGGCGCTCTTTTACCATATCGGGTAATTCTGACGTCAGAACCGCACAAAGAACATGCACGAGGAGAGAGCTGCGCGCACATCGTGCCACACAAACGGACAGTTAACGAGCTAGCAAACAATCAAAAAGAAATTCGAGATCTGGGGCAAGTTATAGAGGCGCGGAGGTGTGGGACATATGTAATGAACAATAGACAGAGTGAGGGACGACTTGTTGTTGGACACATAAGAAGAATCTAGTTTGTGGACAGTTTGTTTTTGTGACAGTTGTCCGGAAATTGTTCGTAGTGGTCTTATACCAACACTCAGAGCAGCTTGTCTAATGCGAAGTTTCAGAATAAAGATGAATTAGCAATGATTAAGCAAGTTGAGCTTCTCATCGATTGATTTGTTTATAAAAGTGAAAATCTGTTTTGGTCACACGCCCTCAGGAGCATTGTCAGGGATTCGTGTCAGTTGTCCACTTCAAACAAAAACTATAATTCGCAATGCCAGTCTGAAAAAATTCGTCCATGCGAAGTGGGGGGGGGTGGGAATTTTTTTTTCAAATATAGCGCCTTCCGAAATATTATTCAAAAGATTATTTTTTAGTGAGCCTATGCGCAGCCATTTTTTTGCTACAAAGTTAATTTGCATATTTAATAATACGAAGACATTTTTGAATATCCACATGAAGAACACTTGATAATTCATGTAGGTAATTTCGAAACTCCCATTCTTGGGAAGGAAAGGGTTGCAGTGAAGTGGGGGGGTGGGGGGGGGGGGAAGGGCTGCGACAATTGATATAGAAACAAAATGGAACTAGAGAAAGTATCATGGTAGTCTGGACAAGTGGGGAAAAAGTCTAGGTTAAGCAGGTCCGGCTTTCTATTGATTTATTGATTTTTGAAAAATCAAATTCTTAGTCATTCCTCAAAAAACATGCTCAGAAAAATTGTCAGATGTCCTTCAAGCAAGACAGAAAAACATGATTGGTACGAGAACAAATAGAAACTCTGTGTGTTTTTCCATGTCCAGGCTTTCCGGAAGAATACTTCCGGGAAGCTTGTGAAGTGGACAACACTCAGGATTTGTGCCAGTTGCCCACAGATTGCCTAGCACGGGAGCATTCAACATATTGCATAGAGCCATTGTAATAGAGCTAATCAAGCTAATAATCGATGCAAACTGTTGAGTACTTGACAATAAAATGATTTATCGCATCATTACTTTGTGTCGTAGAACTCCACCCGCCACCCGTTCCATCAAGCTCCGCCCACACTTATTCATTCTAGACCAAAGAGATGCCGAAGCTTTCAAGAATGACTAATTTGTGGTCGAAAGGGTTTACAAGGTTTATGGAACTGATTAGTTGATGGAGGGGGGGGGTGAGTGCTTGTGCTGGAGGAGGGGAGGGAGCATGTTAATCGATAAAGTATGTGAAAAAAATGAAGAGGTAGATGCTTTGTGGTAGCTGTCGGCAAACATTGCTTGGAGAAGGCAGAAGTATTTTTTAGAGTCATCCTCATAAAAAAGCCGACGGAGCAAAGTTTATGTTGATTGTCAAATTTCAAGATTTATCTCTGAACGTGCGAAAGAGAAGGAAAGAGGTGGAGACCGGGACCCAGTATGAGTTCGTTTCTAGGCTTCTTGAAAACGAAGTCCCCCTTGACTTTCGCAAAATTCTACGAAGTCTCCTTTGACACTCAGCCCTAAACGTAAAAAACCCTTAAAAAACGAAACATCGACTAAAAAGTACTCCAATTTTTGGCCACAAAAGTGATATTCCCTTTGCATTTTCGCCCCAAGAACAGATTCAGCCTGCTTCCATACCATCTGTGCCGGGGCCTGGGTGGAGACTGAAGTGAAAGAGAGAATATACGATATAGAAACCAGTAATAAAGATGTATGGAAGTAAAGGATGAAGGACTATGAACTGTCTTGTGTATCACCCTCCGCCATTTACAGAACTTGGTGTTCAGTGCGAAATTGAGATCACTTTTTCTAGGTACGAGCGGCTATACGCGGCAAAATCCAGATGAACTTAGCTTCCCACTAACTCAAGTACAGCTAGAAGATTGTTTGAATACCCTTCATGAGAAACAATGAGATGAGGTCACTCTTGAGTGAGGGGATTGTTTGCTCACGCATAAAAATATTTTGTGTGAAATTGGTGCACCACTTATTGCATAAAAGACAAGTGCCTAGGTTTCTTTATCAGAGGATAATGCTTTTCGTGGGAATCAGTTCATCAGGGAGGAATAGCAGTCACAGTTGGATACCATGACAAAAGTGCCCCTCCCTTCGTTTGACGTCGTTGACATTACACTAAATACCCTTTGATTCAACTGGCTTGGCGACTGAAAGGCGGGGCCTCGTGACCAAATTAAGGCTAGGTAATGATCAGAAAGCACACTCGCGAGAGAGACGCAGAGACTGCGTCGCGGGCGCGAGCAGCCGAATTAGGCCACAAAGACCCGCCTCCCAGCCGCTAAGCCAGTTGAATCAAGGGTTAGTTGGATACCATGACAAAAGTGCCCCTCCCTTCGCCGGAATTCTTTGAAATTACACTAAATACACATCTGTAAACATTCTTATGGCTTTAAACAAATTCTGAACATTTTTTCAAAGTTAGAAGTAGAGCAACAGCAGTTTCGAAAATGGTTCTCTTTGATTTAGAGGTAGGCTAGAAGTTTACGAAGAACAAAAATTTCAGTTTGGACTAAATTGGTTTTGTTCTTCTAATCCGGAATTTTTTTTTCGCAACAGAAGTCTGCCATCACCACTGTACGTCAGCCATGAGCTCAGTCCCTTTGTTGTATGGTAAAATAAATAAATAAATAAATAAATAAATAAATAAATAAACGAACAAATAAAATAAATAAATATTACCCGTCTTGGTCTGTTGAAATTAAGACAAGTTTGTTCGTAAGGGGTGATCGCGCCTGTTTTTTTTCACTGTTTACAAGCAAAGGACAGGTTCATCCATTTAGGACACAGGAAGGTTTGAGTCAAACATTTCGACTCTATCCTCTCGGTCAAACTTTCTCATTCAGAGCTCCAAAGTTGCTTGGCTCAACGGCGTATCAAAAACATCATTCAACGGTCGAAGAATGGAAGTCAAAGTAAGACCAATTCAGCTTTTTATGAGAAAAAACTCAACAAATCTATCAGCAAACTATATCCAAAACAATTAGAGTTCGGCCTTCTCCCACTGACAAGGTCTGCTGAGGGCTCAGAGGTCAAATATCTTTGCTTACAGTTGAATCATTTCATATGATTATGTGTGCAACTGCACACACCGGTCCATGTTTGGCGTCCTCATTCTGGATTTGCAATCGCAAAAACGCAAAGAGACTAGTCGAATGTTGTTGCTTACATCATTTTGAGGAGACTAGTACCTAGAAAGATAAGAAATGTCAAGAACGCATCAAAAACACTCAACTGGAGGGTTGTTTCCTCCAATACTCCAGGATGGGGACGCCAAGATGGACGGTGTGTGCAACTACACATATGACCATATGATGACTCGACTATAACTGGTGGAATAAAAGTGGCTCAGATAAACACTGATATTGTTGGTTGAGTCTAAAAGCTATGTGGAGAAACTCTTCAAATGCTTTGATTTTAGCTATTGCGCCAGCAATTTGCTGCGATATCTGCTTGCATGGCAAACAGAACGCCATCAGTTGGTAACTCGGCCAAAGTTCGAGAAGCCACGAATCGTTTACTATATTTGCTTCAACTTATTTCTCTCATCCGACGTTCAATGATATGCCGACAAATGATTTCGCAACATTTTCCTTTTACTCAGCTGCTGATGCTGATTTGGGACGAGGTTTTGGTGTCCGCATTATTAGTAGCAGAATTACAGGGTGTCCCAAAAAATGTATCGAACGTTTGATCGTTCATATCTCTCTTCCCAAGAAGTTTTTTGCCTTGCTTCAGGTACCGTTTTGTAAAGCTGGCTTCAGCTTAGATTTGCATTATGGAACGAATCACCCGTCTCTCTTCGGTACTGTAGGATTACGGTAGAAACTTGAAACATATGGTGTCAGCGTGGAAAAAGCTGCCGTTTCAAAATTTCTCAGAAAAATGTGAAAACTTGTATATTGGGGTTTTTATGGACGCTGAGTTCAATACTCAACTATTCACAAGATTACGAAGCTTTCTAAACGGCTAACCGCACTTTTTAGGAACATTGAAAAAATGGCCACTACCTCTTACCTGGCATAACTCTTCAAAGAAGCATCATAATGAATTGGGAACTTTACATTTATAATCAGCAACTCTAATTAGCGTAGTGTAAATGTTTTCAGGCTGTTTCGTTTCCTTTCTGGGGCAAAAGTTTAAAACCTTCTTTGAAGTTTTTACCGTAATCCTACAGTAATGAAAAGAGTTGAGTGATTCGTTCTATAATGCAAATCTAAGTTGAAGCCAGCTCTACAGATTGGTACCTGAAGCAAGGGAAAAGACTTCTTTAGAAGAGAGATATTAACGATCAGACGTTCGGTACATTTTTTGGGACACCCTGTATTAACCTCTGACACTTCAAAGAGGAGCGCCCGGTATCTTCACGTGCGACGAAAAAAATCGTTTACACGGGAAAGATTTGATCGTCAGACGCGCGGACAAGTTTTGATGCTTCTTTGACGCAAGTCTGAACCGATGGATGTCAAAGAGTTTGGGTGTGGCTAGACATAGGTGCTAGGTCAAATAGTTACATAACACTTAGACTATAGTCCCTTTCTATTTTTTGGTATTTACTTTCACTTCAAAAGCGGGATGTGATTGATAGCCGACGCAAAAGAGAACAGGTGAGAGGTTCACTAAAGCTCGGCATCTCTAACATCGCTCAGCATTGGAAATCCATTGCCTACAGTTGTCTGCATTACCATGGCCGCTTTGTGCAAATACACTACTTTTT